AATAAATAAATAGAAGTTAGCAAAACTATAGACGCTAAAAGTTTAGCAGAGCAAATATTTTCATTTCAGCTTTAAAAAGTCATAATGAGGTGAAGATTAAAATCATACAAAGAAAACATAAGCAAAAGATCTGTCTTGAAAGTATTTGCCAAGAAACAGCCAATTAATAGGAAGAGTTAAATTCAGCTCTGCAAGATCTGACTATGCAGTAAGCCTTTTATTTCCTCAGCAAACCAGACTAACATTAAACATGACAGAACATGTTCAAATAATTCTTTTATGCTCTGCCATCACATCTCACTTGTGACTAGGTTTTTAAATCATCAGGCCTCCCATAAATCCACTTGCCAGCTTGTTTGAAGCAAGGGTCCCAGATCAGTACAACATGAGAAACCCTCCTTTCTTTTCCAGCTTAGGGATGGGAGACGATTTTCATAGTTTCCTAAGCTTGCAGGCAGAGCTGCAATTTAAAAAGAAACCCTTTGGGGTGTATGTGTCCCTTTTTCATGTTTTCTCATCTCTGAAGCAGTTAAAATATACTACGTGCAACATGAAAGTTTAGTGAATGATGAAAGGCCCTATCCCTCAGAGCAGAATAGATCTGATTTAAATTAAGTAGATTTAAATCACAATTTAAATCACTAGTCATTAAGCATTCTATTAATGAATCCAATTTAAATAAAAATAATAAAAATTGGATTTTAAACTTAAATTGAATTTTTAATTTTTTTAAATTTAAATTGTGTATTTTAAAATAAAAGGCTTACTGACAATTGATTTAAATTGTCATATCAATCAACTTCATTTTAAATGAAATCCACCCTGCTTCAGAATCTGGAAAACTTACTTTCTGAACTAACAATTTCCAAATCCCCCTACCAGCATGATAAGAGGCTCTTTTGGAGGATTCTGGGAGTTGTAATCAAAAAGCAGTGGTGTTGTTTGGGGAATTCTAGGAGTTAACAGCCCAAAAAAGTTGTCCCAATGTCTCTGGTATATGCAGAGGACTGAAGGGAGAAGAGACAATGGCAGCTACACCTGCCAGCTGTCTTGGCAAGCCAAGCCAAACCTTTGTAGACACCTGCCAATCATGCTGCTCCCACTGGGAAAACATGCAATTAGTACCTAGTAAACGTTTAATCAGCAGCAGTGAGTGTGACATTTATTATGATTCCACATCTTACACTACACAGACACACTAAAACAAACACATTTTTGTTGTTGCTCACATTGTGATGGTGAAGTCTTTTCAGGCCTTGACTCACAAATGGATAGGGGATTTGATGCCATCTAAACACAAGGGGCTTTTTAAAAGCATCATGCAGAAAATCCATTACATACCTTATTTTCAGGGCTGTTTTCTTGCCTATGATTTCCATACATGTGCAATAAATGGTTTCTTGTTTTCACTGACAAAGCTTAGTCAAAGAACATGCACTCCTTGTCAAAATACAGAGTTCAAATACCACAGGTGAAATGACACCTCCTACAGACCTTTAGTGGCTCTTTCCCCAAGGGGACTAGAGGAGGGGGCACCGATCAAAACACTGTATGTCTGATAGAGTCACCAGCACTAGCCAGCAAAGAGTATCATAAGGGAGCACCACTCTTCCTCCTTCGGGCACTGTAAAAATGGTCATGCAACCAGGAACAGCCACAATATATGGCAGAGAAGCCACACAACTGAAGGGAATCGTCAACGCTCTCTTCACCTGTGGTATTTGATTTTAGTGAAGGACAGGTATCACTCAGCACCAGCTCCACAGTAAAGATTAAACGGCCACCATTTATCAAACACTGCAAACATTCTACACATGGCAGTGACATATCATCCAGCCAAGGATCAGCAGCTACTGGACAAGTCAGAGCTGACCTACAATATACAGCAAGGCTCAGGGAACCTGTGGCTACTCCGATGATTCCTCAGTATTAACCAGGCTGTCATGAGATGATGAAAATAAGAGTCTTAACCATCATCTGAAGGATAACATGTCCTCCAACAAACACCCCATACAAACTAGTCACCTTTCCACCCTACACCTACCTACTGGGTAGGTGTGCATGCTGTGAAACAGGACAGCAGGTCTTTTAAAAGGTCTTTTTACTCTTATGTTGTTTATTTATTTATTTTATTTATATCCCGCCTATCTGGTCGGTTAAGACCACTCTAGGCGGCTTACAGCATAAAATACACAATAAGTATATATATAATTTGTTTCTAATACAAGCCCTTCTGAAACTGAAAGAAGATCCTGTGCTGTCTATATTCCACAGGGCTGTCTGTACTCAGTGGTGAAAGCCAGCCTGTTTCGTCTCGTGTTTCCCTAACATCTGGCAGGTAACCCATGGAAGGCTTTTAACTAAACATGGGGATTCCTCTCCCCCCCATTTTAAGTGAAGACAACCCCCCTCTCTACTTGGTCCAGGGGCCACCCTGGGTAACCTATGCCCACAATGAATGCCAAGGGAACACACTGCGCCAGAGCGCTCTAACATTTTGCCCATGGCTTACACCTTTTTGCCCATTTTATCTCCTTGTGCTTTCGGAAGGAGAAGCAATCCAACCAAGCACGATCCGACAAGTCCCCTCACATCCTCCATCTTTCCACAAGGGGCAATTAACTGAGCCACTTGGCTGCTCTGCTGCAAGAACGGGAACGAACGAACGACATTCGCGGCGCACCGGATTAGCGAGCAACTATTATTAGCCATAACGGGAGAGGGGGGGGGAGAGTGGAAGGTCCACGTTTTGGAGACCGCGGAAACTCGCGTACACGTCGAAAGCAAGGGGAGGCTGGAGCCCGAAATCCCGGGATGGTCACGGGGGCGGGCAAGATGCTGGTCCAGACGAGCATCCGCCCGGGCTCCAAGTGTGCGCCCACCTACCCAACATCACGCCCTCACGCCCCATGTTTTGCAAGGGCGGCAAAGTTATGAGCTCCCCACACAACACCCCGCCCGCCCCTGCGCTGTCACGAACCCGACTCCGGCTTCGCATCTCCGTCGGAAAAAGGGAAGGGCAGAAGAAGGGGACGGCCAGGCAGCGACGGCCGAGCGCCGAGCAGCGCCTCGGGTAGGGAAGCGGGCGTCTTGCGAGCCGGGAGGTGCCCATGCGCGGCCGCCACGCCTCGCCCAGCGCCCCGTAGTGGTGAGCAAAAGGCGGCGGCGCGGCGGGG